GTATCATATTTCGTTGATTCACTGTAAACTTTGAAACTTAATAGGCCTTTAATTCTCAGAGAGTTTTAGAGCCTTCACTAGATTCTGACGACAGTTAATCTGCAAAATGGACATACTTATTTTTTTCTTTTGGTTTTTATAAATGCGGATATGATAGTTTTTAATTCGGGATAAAGGTTATGATTGAAATTTCAATGAATGGCTTGAGCTGTATTCAGTTCTCATGAACTTGCAATGTTTAATCTGTAGTTTTGTGTGTTATTTGTGTTGCTTTCTTTTTTTTGGAAATTATATTCGTGTTCACATATATTAATAAACTTTGTCTCTTAGGTGTTCTCTGCTCCTATGGAGCAAATATTGGAGCGCCTCCAGGCATTTGGCGAGTTTGAGGTGAGTAGCTCTGAGCTTGTGGCATTTTGTTGATCGATTATTAATTGTTAAATTGTTTGACTCTTGTTTTCTTCAAGCTGTTCTACAATCCGATGGATCATGATGTAAATCAAGATTACTATGTCTTAGATTTTTTGATTCCCTTGTAATGAAATTTCGGCAGAATCTCTCCTCGATTGAGTCAATTTTCCATATGTATTTTACAAATTATATTACACAAGTTATACCCCGAGGGTTTTAGTTCCTATTTCAATGTTATGGAGAGATTGAATACCCTTTAGTCCAGTTAAACCTTGAGGGTGTGTTTTAGGTCTGGTTTTAGAGTTATAGGTAATGAGAGAAACTGAAGTTAACTTGAGAGTTGAACAAATAAAAAGTACCAGGAATCTGGAGTATGAGATGGTCTAGCTCTCTTCGAATTGTTGAACACCTCCTACTTGGAGAAATTTCCAAAATACAATCGGTCCCAGGGACCACACTGCCAAGATACAACCAATTATGTGAAATGGTTCTGACTTTCTGAGTTGCACCTCAAAAAACTCATCTAAATACACAACTATAGTTACTATACACATTGTATGCTTTCAATTTGACGTAGAAATGCCCATCGTGAAGGCATAGACTTCCGTATCTAACACTAACCTTAAAACACTTGTATATGTATCTCATACCACAAATTTCATACGAACTCTAACTTCAGCTGAGATGATAATATTGATACCATTAAACTATGTGGCCATATATCGGACATTCATGCTTGATGCCAAAATTGGATGTTCATATGTGTAAGGATATCATGAAGATGGATACGTGATTCCTTTAAAGCTTTTGCCTAAAGGTTTTTGCAACTAGTCTAGCTTTATATTTCTTAATAGTACCATCCGCTTTTTATTTTCCTTTTTAAGATCCATTTATATCCTAAGGGCTTAGTTCTAGGAGTTAAGTTCATGACCTGCCAAGTATTGTTTGCCAATATAATCCATCTCATTGTTGACTGCCTCTCTCCAAAATGGAACATCACGCGAAGACATGGCTGCTTGGAAATTCTTATGATTTTCTTCTATAAGATATGCATGAAAGTTAGTGCCCTAATAAGTTGATTTCCTGGCTCTCTTACTTCCTTGTTCAAATCTTTAGGGTTCTCATGTTAATTGATTTAATCATAATATAAATCTTTAGGGTTCTCATGTTAATTGATTTAATCATAATAATCTATTGTGCTAAAAAATGAATTTGTGTTAAAAAGTTATACATAGTTGGGCTCTATGGACACATTCGAGTCAAGGTCCAAGAACCTGTAAGCTTTGCTGTGTTTAGGATATTCTATGAAAACATACTTAACAATTTTAGGTACTAATTTAGGCCTCTTAAGGTCAGGGAGCCTTACCATGACTAAACAACCCCAAACCTTGGGGAGTCGTAAATAAGGTTTCTTTCCTTTTTGTAGGTCATATGGTGGCGCATATAATTTAGAATATGTTATTATGTTGAAAGTCTAGCACCCAGATATCAAAGCTTTTGCCCATGAATTAGTAGGAAGGTTAGAACTAGTGAGCATGACATTGACAAAATCCACAAGTGTGCGGTTTCTCCTTTTGGCTAAACCATTCTCTTGTGACGTGTATGTGGGAGTTACTTGGTGAATGATTATGTTTTCTTCAAACAATTTAATAAAGTTAGTGAATGATATTCATCACCTCTGTGTCTCAAAAGTTAGTGAATGATTCTAGTATCTAGGAGAATCTTTCCACTTAAGGAAAATGTTTCCTTGTAGTCTTGGACCCTACATACGCTTCACACAAAGTATTATTGTCATTCTCACACTTGTAAATTAGGTGTAGAATACTCAGTTTCTGCAATGCATGAAAATTGGCTTGTCCTATTTACAATGGCACTAAGAAAATGAGTCAAGCATATACACTGAAGAAGCGGTACCTTGTTGATTATGGACATTGAGCTGAAACATGCCTTTAGAGGTGTAGCTCTGACCTACAAAGACACCGTTCTTCGGCATGATGAACTTGTCGAACTCAAAAACAATCTCAAAACCTTGTTTATTCGGAAGGTATGTGAAAATTAGATTTCTCTTGACATCTTGGGCATGATACACATATAAAAGAGTGAGAACTTTACCGGATGAGAATTTCAATTTTGCCATCCCTTTTTTCAACTACTTATGGTTAAGAAGAATTGCCCATATAAAGGACATATTGACCAGCCCACCATTTTGTATGTCCTAACCATGCTGTTGTTGTTAGAGACATGTCTAGTGGTTCGTGAGTCCACCCACCAATCTGTAGTGCCCTCCTATAAAATTTATTTTGGAGATCATGATGATGTATGTTTCTTCAGTCACATAGGCTTGGGCTTGTTGCTTCTACTGAATCTTGAAGGATTTTTGCACGTGATTGGCTTTGCTGCAAAGTAGCATACCATTCTTTTCTTTCCTTAGTCTTGAGTAGCCTTTGTCGTTGGTTGTCATTGTTCTTCTCTTCTTTCGTTTCTCTCCTTGACTCCCTTCTTAGTCTTTGGCTTCTTGCTTTTTGGACATTCCCGGACATGAGCTTTAGCAACCATTGTGACATGTACTCTGTCATGTCTCGGAGTCTGGTGTGCTCTTCAATCCACAGATGGGTCATTAGTTGTTTCAAAATTATGTCGTTTAGTTTATGCATTTAATTATTCCTGAAACCCTTCCATGACGGTGATAGTTTGGCTATGATGGCCACTACATGGAAGGGCTCATCAATTTTGATGCCATTAGAGACTACCTCATTCGCTATGATATGAAATTCATGGACATGGGCCAACACTAGTCTACCCTTTGTAATTTTGAAATCTGGATGGTGATTAACGAAATAATTCTTCATTTTGGCATCTTTAGCTTTATATTTTGCTCCTTGAGCATCCTAAAGGTCCTTTACTGTGGCCATGTTTTAGTAAAGATTGAAAAGTGGGTCAGTAAGAGCATTTAAAATGTGAACTTTACATATGTAATCATCTTCTTGTCGCTGTTACACTTCACTAGAGGTTTGATTGGTTCACTGATTAGTAAATTGACTGTTTCTAGCCTGTCGGTGCTAGGCTTGAGTTGGCAGTATTTATACTGCCAAGGGGACGTGATTTTTTCAGCACATAGTCCGCTATTAAGTTATTTAATAAAAATAGGACCTCGGACTGCTACCTTTTGAAATTTATTCCATCAAATCTTTCCAATGTTATGAAATCTTGGCTTATAGCTTTTAGAGAAGTACTGGTAGCCATCTTCTGTCTTTCCATTGTTATGAAATCTTGGCTTATAACTTTAGAGAAGTACCGGTAGCCATCTTGTGCTTGAATTTTATTGTTAGATTTTTTGATTCCTCTGTAATGAAATTTCGATAGAATCTCCTTTTGTCCGAAGTTCATTTACAAAATGCATTTCAAGAATGCTCTTTTAGTCCTGTTAAATGCAGAGGGTTTAGGTCTTGTAGGATGAATACACTCTAGTGTAGTTAGACCTTGAGGGTTTGGGTCTGGTTTCAGAGTTATAGGGAAATTGAATACTCTTTAGTCCATTTAAACCCTGAGTGTGTAGGTTTGGTTTCAGAGTTATATGCAGTTTGAGAAACTGGGGTTAAATCAAGAGTTGAATTAACTAAAATGGCTAGAACTCTCCTAGGATGCAACCAATTCCGTGAAATGGTTGAGTTTCTGAGTTGCATGTGCAAAACATTTGTCTAAATACATGCTCTTCATACTAATATGCTTTTAGATCAATGCAGAAATGACCATCGTGAAAACAAAGACTGTTGTATCTATCACTGACCTTAAGACACATGTATATATATCTCATACGACAAAGTTCATATTAACTTTGACTTCAGAAGATCCTTTTATTTCAGCTGAGATGATAATACTATTAAAATATGTGTCCATATCGAAATTGACTATTCATGTGTGTAGAATATCATGAAGATGAGTGTACAATGCCTTTAAAGCATGTAGATGGATAAGAGGTTACATATATATTTTTGTAGCGAGGGAGTGTGAAGAGCTAGAAACTTATTTTAGAGGGGGATGAAGGGGTTTTATAAATGAAGGAACAAATACATACATTGTTCAAAAAGTCAGTCAACTAGGCCTCCTGACTGTCAAAACGCCTAGGTGTACCCTTGGCAAGTGTCCTAGGTGTGCTTGCTTTTAGCCGCCTGCATCAAGGCGTGTGCCTTGGTGCAACTTGGCCTAGGGCGAAAAAAGGCCCCCAGTCAAGGGTAAGAAAGTACTTGACCCCTTTTTCAAGGGTGGAGGGGGGGGGGGGGGCGGCAATCTAGCCCCCCAAACCCTTATGCTCCTAGTGCCACCTAAAGCTAAAAATAAAAGAAAGCTAAATCTATAAAAATGGCTAAGGGCTCAAGGTTCCTTTTTCTCGCTCACAGGTCCATGTGCTCTCTCTTTAAGTGTAAGAAAAAGAGGGAGTAAAAGATGCACTCAAAATGTTCGATGCGAAGCCTCTCTCTCACACATGCATATGCACATACATAAACACACACATGAACCCATATGCTCTCACTCTCCAAGTGTTCGATATGAGGCCCCCCCTCTTTCACGGGCTCATATTCTATCTCTCTACATATAAAAAGAAGAAAAAGAAGAACATGTCCTCCAAATATTTGAGTGAAACGTCTCTGTCAAACACACTGGCCCACATTATGTATATATATATATATATGTGTGTGTGTGTGTGTGTGTGTTATAAACAGTTGCCCCCCATATTTGTACTTAAAAATTTATATAATAACATATGCTCCTGTCCCCCCTCTCAAAAAAAAAAAAGAAAAAAAAAAGGCGTCCGCCTCCTTTTTTTGAACATTGAGTAAACATAAGATGACATTGTGTAGGATAACCATAAAGATGTTTGCCATTTATTAAATGTTTCCATGTGTCACCCAAAATTGATGTGTCTAACTAAACAAATACAACTTGTAATAAACCCCATGTCACCCTTAAAGAAAAAGATAAGTGAAGCGTTTAAGCTCTTAGGTGGACCTTGGGGTCTAAACTAGTATAGTGGTCTTTTGTTCATATAAGCTTTATGATCTCATGACCACTTCAAAAGGTAGTCCTACAATTATCAAAGTCAAATTCAAAATTCTAAGTTGTTTTGAAACACTATTCTAGAAAACTAACAGTCTGGATTTGCAAAGTCCAAATGCGATGAGGTTTGGTGATAAGCTATAACCTACTTGCTTATGGATGCTTTTTACCCTTTATGTGTCCAAAGTAAAATTCAAAATTCCAAGTGTTATTTTTTTGGGTAAGTCAGTTGGGGAGAAGGCCCTCTACGCGTTTTTTCATTAATAAATAAGCAGAGAAAAACAATTAATGTACAAACCTATAGTAGGGCAGTTGCGTCATATCATGTAATAAAAGAGAGAAAAGAAAATCTGGTGGTCTATGGCGCCACACAGTAGCACCGGGGCCAGCAGATGCCCTCTTAGGGAGGGCATCCACAACCATGTTTGCCTCCCGAAAAACATGTGCAATGGACCATCAATGAGAAGAAAGTTTGGTATGACTGTTATCTGTAATCGTCTTTAGCCGTCATGGAGCACGACATCGATTTTGAATGACATCCACAAGCGGGGCCGAATCACTTTCTATCTATATTGGAAAGCAATTTCTTTGATGAACCAACTGAACTCCTTCTTCAAGTGCCAAGAATTCTGCATGGTTATTAGAAGCAAAACCGAAATGCTTTGCAAAAGCAGCAATGAAACCACCCTCTCTGCTCTTGATGACTCTACCACCACCTGCTAAATCTGGATTTCTTAAGGAAGCACCATCAATATTGAGCTTGTAATTCTGAGCCTCAGAAAGTGACCACGTCACTTGAATAAGGGATTCTAACTTCTGCTGACACCAAGTTATATGAAGATTACCAATTATGGCCTTTTTGATAAATGGAACGAGCACTTTTTAACTTCTGCTAGTGCCTGAACATGTAAGGTAATCTGGTTCACAATAAGCTTTCTCCTGGTGGGTCTTGACTCAGACTCTTTGTTGTGCTCTTCCCATAGAAACCAAATAGCAGTAAAAACGATGGAAGACTGAATATTATGAAGTCCATGAGATTTAAACCTGAAAAGTAGCCACCATCTAAGTAAATCACGGACAAAAGTACCAAGGACAAACCATTTTCCACATCTCCAAGCTAATAATCTCCATACACCCTGCGCAAAGCGCATTGAAATAATAGATGGAAAAGGCTGTCATCATGGTTGCTACAAAAGGGACATAAAGAGTCCAGCTGCATGCCTCGCTGCTGCAATAAAAATGAGGTGGGCAATTGATTATGCAAGGCCAGCCATGAGAACCATTTCGCCTGTGGGTGGCATTTAGAAGACCAAAGTGCATGGAAAATAGGCTGTGATGAACCTTGATGCCTAATAAAATCTATGCTCCTTTAATAGAAAATAGGCCATCAGTAGAGTGAATCCAGACCAGTGAATCCTTTTTGGGTTGTAGAGGAAGAGTATAATTCTCAACCTCCCTTCATATATTTATCAAAAAATCAGATGTGGGAGGTGGCAGAACCCAAGACTGAGGTGCACCTCCTATAGAGTCTGAAACCCTCCTTGCAGCAGGCCCCAAATCCTCCCAAGTGTTATTACCATGCAAATTCGAAAGTCATTGACTTGCTAACCATGGATCCACTAAGAAATCCACCATTTGACCATTACCAATATTCCACTGTACATTGCCTTTCAAGTGCAATAAGCCAAGTAAAATCCCCTTCCATACATGAGAACATCCTCTTCTTCCTTCAGCCTCCCATATAGAAGAATTTCTAAAATATCGATGTTTGAAGAACCGTCCCAACAATGAGGATGGATTTTCCAAAATCCTCCATGCTAACTTCATCATTTCTGAAATATTGAAATCCGCCATTTCCCTTACCCCAAGTGTTTTGAAACACACACTCTGTACAATCCACAGTCTGGATTTGCAAAGTCCAAATGCGATGATGATTGGTGATAGACTATAGATTAGTTGCTTATGGATTCTTTTTTTCATTTATTTGTTATTCAAATTCATTGTACTTGTCACCCTGTTCCTATTTATTCTGAAGTGATAGCCCAAAGTCTTTTTAGTGGTTGACAAATGGATGAAATTCAGGTATATACTTAATGTATTCAATACAACCTGTCCATGAATATGCAAACCTGTTTGAGTACTGATTTGTGGATTTGCATGGATTCAACTGATCATATATACAATTAAATGATGTGGCCAGTCACCCATGTTGTACTTTTGCTTTACTTAATATAACATTGCAATGTTTCTGACAATGTGATGTTCTGTTTATTGCAGATAATTATCTTTGGAGATAAAGTTATTCTTGAGGAAGCCATGGAGAAGTATGTCTGTAACTTTCCTTGCTGTTATGTAATAATTCATTAACTGTTATGAATCATTTGGTTTGTAAGAAATGCAAACAGCTTCTTGGCATTCTTTTTATACATAAAAAGTCAAGATGCATTTAATTCGATCACAGTGTGATTGGTCCTAGACTGACATCTTATGAAAGATCATCACCATAATCATCTTAACCTTTTCCCAACTATTTAGGGTCGGCTATATGAATCCTGGTTTGACATTCTGCTCTATAAAAGGCATAAGCAAATATTGTAGATTAAGGATTCATGGAAAGTTTTGGCTAAGTTTTATGTTTGCTGCCTACTTAATACAGCCGACCTCCTTTACCTGGACTTGAGACGGGTTAAGGGAAAGTTCAAGGTTCTCACGATTCTTAGACCATGACATCTTATGGAAGATATAGAAAGTCAAATCACTAAAGTTTTAAGACAACAACATATCAGTGATCGGGAGACCCAAAATCCTATCCCAACAAACTATTTCATCATAAAGTTATACAAATATATTTTAGATTAAATTTGCCAACTGGAGTTCGTAAGTGTTATTACAAGGTGGTGTTGTGCGAGAATTAATCATTACAATCATAAGTAGCTATGAGAGTGTGGATGAGGATATGAATGGAAATTCTGTATTCTTTTGGAATTTGAGGGTGTCTTGCCGTTTTAACCACAAATTGGTGATTTTAGAATCCTTGATTTTTTTAAGTTATTATGGCACTTTAACGGATATATGAATGGTTTCACCATTACGACTTATGGGTTAGTCCATGAAATGTTACCCGCTTCCATAGCAGAACTCACTGTGGGATCCTACAAGGATTTCCATAAGTTGCAGAGACAAAAAGATTGATCAAATTTATGGATGGGCTCCAAAGTTTATGTTACAGTTATTAGGGGTGAGTGTAAATGGTTCCTTTGGCCTTTGAAATCTTTATTTGACCATTGATCAGTGCTTATAGGACCTCTCTAGCCCTTGAATGCATTTTTCACTTATTTTATTATCTTGGGTGGGGTGGAGAAGTCTGGCTCGTAATAATAGGTAACAGTCAGGAAAGGCCCATAACAAACAGTGGGTATGCGAATTATAACTGCGATAGGTGATGCGGCCTGTATTATTAATTTATCCAATTTTGTCATTGCATGACATGTATTTGAATAGTTCATTCTAATAAGAAAGTTTTCATAGATTGGTAATGGTGCTTGTCTGCAGTTGGCCAATATGTGATTGCTTGATTGCTTTTTATTCTACTGGTTATCCTCTCAAGAAAGCTGATGCATATGCTGCATTGCGAAAGTAAGCATTCTTTCCTTGGGTTCCAACACACAGAATGCTCCTAGCATTTTCTATTGTTTGGACAATTTGTACTGTTGTTTTAACAATATTGTATGGTTACCTTTGCTTTCTATGGTACCTTCATTCTTTATTTCCTTCACAGCTTTACATTTTCATGTCATGTGACACAATATTCTGCCGTTTGATTGTTCTTTTCATATGCCATTGTAACTTGTATATTATTTTTCTGTTAGCTTTACACCTATTATTTGAGTCAGCTTCAGTTGAGGGAAGTGTACATCGATTTTCTGTGTTGGCAAAACTTTACTCTCTGTTGCAACTACTTTTAAGTTGTAGAAGAAAATGTAGTTTTAGTTGTCTATTTAACATTTTCAAACCCTTATGTGGAAGGGAATCAATCTGTGTTTCCATCACAAAGCTTGCAAGTAGATAAAATTAGTGGTAAATGATGAAAGGAGGAGAAAAATGAAGAAAATAGATGAAGTGATCGAGTGCTGAGTGGAAGAGAAAATGGTGAAGAAAGAGGACATTGAGAGAGGAAGAAAGAGAGAGGTGATGTTAGTCCTACTGACCTTTAGTACCTCTCATATTTTATATTAGTAATAAAGTATTTACTTTTTGGGTGAATAATAAATATTACTTACTATACAAGAATGTCACTTTGTGGAGTAAAGGAAAAATAAGTCCTTAGAGATTTAAATACAATATAATGAGAGCTAACCCTTCATTAATCTCAGAACACTTCCCATCAAAATGCTGCATAGGTATAAATTATGCCCAGCTTGCTTAAGTTAACTTGTAGTTGATGTTTACCAATAACCTTTGTTAGAATATTTGCCAGCTGATCTTCTGTCTTCGCATAAGGAAGACAATTTTCTCTGGTGGCAACTCTGTCTCTAATAACATGTCAGCCTACTTCGATATGCTTGGTCCGATCATGCTGAACAGGTTTATGAACTACATTAATCGCTGCCTTGTTATCACAGTATAAGGACATTGATCCCTTCACAGGAAAACCAAGTTCCTGTATACAACTCACGTGCACCATGAGCCATGATACTCTGCTTTTGCGCTTGACCAGGCTACAATTAATTGTTTTTTTCATCCTCCAAGTCACAAGGTTAACCCCAACTACAGTACAATAACCTGATGTAGATTTTTGTTCTCTAATACATCCAGCCCAATCTGCGTCTATATAAGCTTCAATATAAGTGTCCATGATTCTCAAATTACAATCCTCTACTTGGTGATATTTTAAATATCTAAGAACTCTGTAAGCGGATTTGAGATGAGTAGTTCTAAACACATGCATGAATTGACTGATCACGCTAACATCATGTGCAAATATTTGGGCACATAACTGAAAGATATATCAATCTACCTTTGGAACATTCCTGCATCTTTAAGTGCTTCACCCTTTTTGTCATTGAGCTTGTGATTTTGTTGCATAGTAATATCAACAGGTTTTGACCCTAGCTTCCCTGTTTCCTTGAGGACATCCAATACATACTTCCTTTAGGAGAAAAAAGATTCCTTTTTTAGACGTGGTAACTTCTATCCCAATAAAATACTTCAATGAGCCTAGATCTTTAATCCCAAATTCCCTCGCTAGAAAGCTCTTGAGTCATTGAATTTCTTTAAGGCAATTCCCCAATACAACAATATCATCCTCACAAACAATCATGGCAGTGGTACTGATATTAGTATGTTTGACAAATAGAGTATGATCAGCATGATTCCGAGTATATCCAACTCTTTGAACACCACCACTAAACCATTCAAAGAGTACTTTAGTCATATATGGCATTTTTTAATCGACATGCTTTTCCCTCATTTCCTAGAGCCCTAAATGGAGGTAACTTGTACATTTCTTCCTATTAGTCCCCATGAAGGAACGCATTCTTGATGTCTCATTGGTGCAATGGCCACTCCATTTTAGCTGTCTGAGATAAAAGGACCCAAATATAATTCATTTTAGCCATAAGAGCAAAGGTCTCTTGATAGTCGATTCCATAAGTTCGAGTAGACCCCTTAGCAACTAACCGTGCCTTGTATCTGTCAATTGTATCATCAGCCTTGTACTTTACAGTGTAAACCGAATCAACCATCTTCTCTTTAAGAGGATCTATTAGGTCCCAGTTACCATTCTTCATTTGTGCCCTCATCTTGTCGCATATAGCCTCTTTCCACTTGGGATGAAGCTAAGGTTTTTGACCTTCTGTAACAATGGAAGGAACAGAAACAGAAGATATAGAAGACATGAAGGCTTAATTGGAAGGAAGCAAGGACTCATAGGAAGAAAAATTGCTAATTGGGCATGTTGTGGAACTTCAGTGTACTTTTTCAAACAGCAATGGCAGATCAAAATCATCATATAGGGGTTTGGGGTTATTACCTGGATTGGAGGTATATAATTGGCGTGAAGGCCTGTCAGCTATAGTCGTCTCCACTTCCTTCTGTTTCTATCGAGTATCGGCTTTCAGTTCTTTCTACTCAGCACTAGGAAAATGCCCCCCCATTGTCATCTGGGTTTCAGTTTAAAAAACAATAGGATAGGAAGAGGAACAAAGGACCTCTCTTCCATATTATGTCCCCTTGAAGAGAGGTGGAAAAGAAAGGAGTGGAATCAAAGAAGGTTACATCCATCAAAACAAATTTCGTCCGAGAAACTGGATCATAGTTTTATAACCCTTTTGCAGAGATAGATCATCATCATCGTCAAAGCCTTTGCCCAACTAATTAGGGTTGACTACGTGAATCCTGAGCCATTCTGCTATATAACGGGCCATATCCTCAGTGAGGTCATAAGTCCCCATATGTTTTCTCACTGCTTCCAACCATGTATTTTTAGGCCTACCCTTTGCTCTTTTTGAGCCTTCTACTTGAACTAACTCGCACCTCTTAACAGGTGCCGCATTGGGTCTGCGCCACACATGGCCAGCCCACTTAAGTCTACTTTGTCTCATCTTATCATCTATTGGTGCCACACCTAAATTCTCCTAAATGTATTCATTTCGAATTTTATCCCATCTTGTCTCGCCACTCATCCATCTCAACATCCTCATGTCAGCTACACTCATTCTTTTTACAAAGATGGATAATTAAGGAAAATACATTTTATTAATTTGGGATCCAATTTTGTACGATACGGGTGTTGGCTATGTGGCCTATCAAGGCTTTAAAGCCAATAGTCTTATGCTCAGTAGGAGTTAGAGAGAGACTGAATCTGGGTGCTTGGCCCACTGGGGCCCAGATTCATATAGTCCGAGTATTTGAGGCATTGAGAGTATACGTTTTGAGAGTGTGAACTCTCAGAGAGGTGTGAGGGTCACCTCCCAGTCAGGACTATATTGATTAGAATGCCTCATAGTTGATGTGATAAGCCAGGGCTTGGAATCCAATCAAGAATAATAGAACCCGAGTTTTAAAAGAGTATTCGCCCTGTATGGAATGGTTGGCTCATGGGACATGAGTTCGGATCCTAACACGAGACCGTTCCATGGCTTATGCACCCATAGTCGTACGGGAAAGTCACTCTTCTATAGTATTATCCGACTTAGAAGAGCTAGTGAGCATGTGCTTTGAGAGGACCCCATTATTTGAGTAAGAACATGTCTCATAGGGGTGCACTAGTAATCCATTGAACCCCTGGTAACGGGAAGCTCTAGCTCAGCGACTTTGATGTGACCAATTATATGTCCCTGCCATAGACTGTGGAGCATAGGTCCATTTGGTCGGCTTGAGACATCGGTGGAATTTTATCCAGGTTAGACCAATAGAAGACTCTGACTAGTGTTATAAGTCTAGAGATCTCATTTACGTTTGGCCCATATTAATCTAAAATTGATGAGAAAGTATTTTATGTTGATGAAAAATTGTATAATAATATTGAGAAATTATTTAGAGAATTTTTGGGATTTTTGTAGATTTTTTCAGTTTTTTTTTAAGCAATAAAATATGATTTCCAAATTTGTTTGACATAAATACCAAAAAAGGACATTCTATGGGGATGCCATGGGCATAAGTGTAAACATGAATTTGGACTTAATGGGAAATAAAACATGGAGCTAAGGGCTTCAAGGTAAAATGACTATAAACTTAGGTTTTAAGGAGTGAAAGGTGTCAAAAGCTCATCCATTGATCTTGGTGATAAGATATGATGAGTGGCTTGGATAAAAGCCTCTCATGTGCCTTGATCTAAGGCATGATCAAGATCAAATCAATCTTTATGATCTAAGTATAAAAGTAACTTATGGGATCAATTATAACCCTAACTTGAGTATTCACTTCAAAGAGAGAGAGAGAGAGCCCTTTGACAAAAAATGTGGTCACCCATGAGACTATCTTCTTCTTTGAGCTTTCATTTGAAACCTTTCCATGGAGTAGTCCATCATTTATGTGATCAAGCCCATACTATTGCTTCTTTAAGGTATTGATTTTTCTTCTCATATTTTTAATTCCTACCTCATGTCCATTATCAAAGCTTGCTATAATTCTTAATTTGCAGTAGCTTTCTTCATTTTTGGTCATGAAAACTTGATATTTGAAGAGTCCCAAAGCAATAGTGTAGTCCATACACATATATGTGTAGACTAGCTTGCTTACTTCATGATCTTGAGTAGTTTCAACTTGATTTTTTGATCTTATTTTTCTGAAATTTTTACTGAGAATATACCACTGATGAGAGGTTTATTTCATCATATTTGAGCATAAAAAATAGTCCATTGAGTTCCCTTTTTAATGTTGAAATATTCGTGTGGTCCCATATGGATTACGTGGTGTAGTTTCACCATATCTCTCTCAAACTTTGAAGGGCTATTTTGATACATGTGTCTTTCATGATTTGATACCTATTAAGTGAAATAAATGTGATCATTTGTGTCCCATTGGATTGATCTCCTTGAGTTATTATTATCAACCGTGCCTTAGACAATGGGACAAAATTAAGTCCTCAAAAGGCCCTTTTGTGGCCCGGGGACAAAGGGTTCAAACCATGGTTT